AACTTCTGAGAACACAGCTCCTTTAGGCTCCATTAGCTATCTATCTACTTAGAAACAGATTTATGAAGGAAAACTCCCCCCACCCCACTCCTTTCATGACTCTGAGATTTTTTTTTAAATAAGTGATTCAAGACGAGAATATATAGGAGTACCTTGTACGTTTTAGATCGTCTAAAGCTATCTCTCCCACCAGAAAGCCAGAGCAAGGTCTTTGAAATGGCGTTGCAATTGATGATTCACACAGAAGGCATTTCCCCCTTTTAAAGGAGGTACAGAATAACGCAGGGGGCAAAGAGACAGTGCAGAAGCAGTGCTGACAGAGGAGAAAGCATGCGGAGAAATTCTCTATAGGCCACACCATGGAGCAAAGAAAAAGGACCCGGGGAGTCACCAGGTCATCCTTTTTGATGTACAGTGATGACACAAGCACTTCACCTCATTACTCGGCACAGCCAGACTCAGCCATGGGCAATATCACCTGCTTTCTTCCACCAGGTGGCAAATGAGGGTGCTATAGGGAAAATCCATCAATTTGGCCTCCACTAAGCTGACATCTGTGGCAACTCAGTCAGGGGCAAGAATGAGAGAACTCTTCTCACAACTTATTCAGGAACAAGAACACAGAGCAGCAAAATCCAATCTTGGAAGGACCTCAAAGGCCGACACCAGGCTACATCACAGCATAAGGCCCTGCTACAACTTCTCTGACAATTGCACATCCAGCCTCCACTTGAAAACCTTCAATGACAGGGAGCCCACAGCCTCCTGAGGCACCCACTTTTGCATCTGGATAGCTCTACCTTCTGGGAAGATTTTTTCCCTTCTTTATATCAAGTCAAGGGAGGATTAATTTAAGGAAAAAAATCTTTTTAACAACTAGAAACAGCTGTACAAAGTTAAATGGGCTGCCTTGGGAAGCAGGGGGCTTCCCCCTCCTTGGGGGTGGGGTGGGCTGGGGCTTTAAGCAAAGAGAGGAAAGCCACTTGTTAAGTGTGATGTAGAGGGCATTCTTGTTCAGATACAGATGAGAAGAGATGGTTTTGTCATTCTATGAAGACATAAATAAGACTTAAGGGAGAATACTTAAATGACTTAAGAGACAGTGTGGTATAGTGGAAAGAGCAATGCATTTAGAGTTAGAAGCCCTAGGTTTAAATTCTGGCTTTGCTATTTGCTACCTATGTTACCTTGGGCGAGTCACTTAAACTTCCTGGGCCTCAATTTTTTCATTTGTAAAATTAAGGGATTGTTAATCTGTAATGTTTCTTCCAGCTCTAAAGCCTATGATAATGATCTATATTTGAAATCAGTAGTGGCAGCCTCACTGTTTCAAAGCCAAACCAAAACAATACCCCTTCTTTCCTCCGTGTTTCTTTCAAGTCTTATTTCAACTTCTTTGTTTAGGCCATCTGGAAAGCAGGATTTTTTTTTCAAATTTCGTAGATCAAATCCTCCCACTTGACTGTCTCTGAGTCAGGGTCCTTCCTAGACTTCTCTTTAGATCTTTCTTCAGAACCCAGGAGACAGAAAAATAAAATGGAAGGAACAGATACAGGCATATATTTGGGGGCCAAGTGTTCAACAATATTCTTTTCTCCTGCTTTGTAGAGGGTGGGAACAGAAGGTCTAGCTGAAAGAGGCAGGAAAAAAAGAGAAGCAGCTCAGCCTCCATTTTATTTGATGCTCTGGGAAAGATGAAAAACACCAAGGAAAGAGAAGACCTAAGGTGAAATCAAGTAAAATAGAACTAAAGAAGGCAGTACAGGTAACGAGCAGAAGGATATGGTCTGGGAGGGAGAAAAAACAGAAGATGCCTATTTTCCAAACATCAATATTGGGACATATAGTCCCACAATGGACTTTGCTTTGGTGGTGATTTGTGTCTTGAAGAGGAATGATTTTTTTTTTATATTAGTGCAAGCACCATTGTAAATGTGAACTCTGCCACTTAAGATGCAATGGCCAATGATTGCTGTGACTGTCCCACCACACATCCATATGTATTGTGTGCATATCTAGAACCTTAATGTGGACTTTTTGGGTATATTTCCATGAATAAGTCTGATGTTTATTTTACCTATCATTCTCTTAATTTTGCAGTATCATCTCTTGTGATATATAATTTTATTGCAATGCTTATGACATGATCCATTCATTTATTATTAAGTCTGGGGCACAGTATTTGAAAAAAAAAAAAAACAATTGTCCTGGAGAGCAAAGAGTCTACAATTACTGACAGGGATAGAGAACCAGGGGCAGAGGAATGATATAAAATAAAAGCTTTGGGAGAGGGATGGTATTGGGGATACCAGGTGAGAGACAAGGACTGTTTCCTTATTGGACACTACTGGTGAGTTTCATGGCTTGGATCCAAGGACCCATTGTCAATGATGGGGAAGAGTGAAGACAGGTGTTCTATCTGTATGAATCAACAAGCACTTAGAAATGCTGATGATAGGTATGTTTTCAAATGAAATACATTGAAAACACAAGAGAAAGGAGATTTGGCCATGGAAGGTAACAGAGTAACAGAATATCAGAACAAAAAGAGGGTAGAATCAGCACAAACACTACCACAGGTATCCCCAACGAATGTAGAATGTGGAGACAAATTAAATAGTGCTGCCCCCTGAAATAATCTGAAAAAAATAATGATACCAGGAAGATTTCCAGATCTTATCCAGGTGATTTTCAAGTTTTAGTAAGAAAAATAAAGCATAACTAATGTAAGATGAGTGACAATCTAATTAATCATAACACATCCAGATAATTTGAGCAAAACAAAAGGGGATGTTCTGCATGATATCAAGAAGTGAAGCATCAAAGAATAAAGGTGTGCCAACATTTATTTAGTAGTGTCTAGGAGAAAAGGTCTCTCATTTAAAGACCAATGCTGGCTTTGTTGACTGAAACATCAACTTCCCACAGCTTAGTAGGAGGAATCATTAAGTAGCAAAAGCCTACGTCTTAGAATTAGGATACCTAAATCTACATCCCAACTTTGGTAGTAGGTAATCAACTCTAGCTATTGTGACTTTGGGCAAGTCACTGACTTTTTTGAGATTCACTTTTCTCATCTATAAAATGGGGGAAAATACTTCTACTATCTACCTTAGAGGGCTGTTATAAGGGGAAAATATTTTATGAACCTCAAAGTTCTATAGAAATGTGAGTTACGATAATAATGTATTATCACCATCATTATTATTCTCTCCATTTAAATATTCATTGACCGATTTTTAAAGCTATTATTTTTCTCTTCTGAGTGAATCTGCCCAGAGCTGGGAAAAGGATCTGTGTACCCTAGGCAAAGTTCGACACTTGTGTCCCCTGAGGTTTTAATTGTAAAACACACTACTTGATTTATCACAAAGACCATACCTACATGTTCTAGAGAGCAAAATTTCTGATATTTTAAAAAAAACATTATTCAAAATGTTAGACCCCAGAGGACAAAAGTAGCAAAGAGGCAAATATAATAGGTACACGATATTAAGAATCACTTCCTAACAATTAGAGCTGTTCAAAAGTAGAATGAACTGGTCTCTTCAAATTCTAAAATTCTATGAGTTTGTGATTCTCCTCTATTATGTAGTCAAGGCCACTGCCCACCACTGGTCACAACTTTGGACCTACTCAGGAAGGGGGAGAATCCTCTGTGCAGATGGTGGGTATCTGCCTAACATATCTTTTATAAATGAGCAAATCAGTCTCTTGAATTCAATTCATATGAATTATTCCCTTAGAGCCTGATAAAAATAAGAGTGTACTGATCAAATCAAGATTCTGGATTTTAAGGGTTAAAGACCTTAGTCTGAGCTTGTGGTACAGGCACCTGGTAGGGCCCATCTTGAGCTGTAAACCAAATGGATTTTCTCTCTTTTTCTGTATCCAATCTCTCAGTAGGAAGAGAGGGTATGTAGTAGAAAAAAATAGGAAATAAAAAAGGAGAAAAATAGATGTAAGGAATAGGAGGGAATGAACTGGAGAGTAAAGGTTAGAGATGAGTAAAAGAAGAAAAACCACTGAGATGAGATAGTTTTCCTGTTGATGGACTATAAGTAACACCGCATTTCTCAAGCACATCATCCTCAGCTCTACAATTTCTGCAGAGGACAAACTGTAGAGCAAGCATGGTGGGGCACATTCAGAAGGACAATGATATGCCCTTAATTGAGACCTGTGATATCGGACAGAGAGGATTCTCCAATAATCACACAGACTTCAAGCAGGGCAGAAAGATGGCAGTAATCAGTGTCCATCATTCAGATGCAGCCAGATGAGCACCAAAGGAACTCAATAACTAATAGGCATTTGCCCAGAAGTTTCCACATCCTTAAAAAACCCTCTTTCCTTCCTTAATGCTGTCAATATAAACTGTCTACCTTGGACAGTGAATTGTCTTACATGCTGCGTTTCCCGGATAATTGATGGTGTTCTTTACTCTGGACCATTTTTTTCCCTCTGGTGGAAAAGTCTGCCGAGGGCAGTGATTTTTGTCAGTTTTATTTGTAGCCCATCAATTCCCTTCCTCCACAAAAGGTATTTTATCTTTGTCTTCTCTATCGTCTGTGGCCCTGGGAGGAAACAAGTTAGGCACATGTGTCCCTTTCAAGATGGATGTGGAACAAATGGCAAGGCCTTAGTCCCCTTGTTTTCTCCTTGATCCCCAAGCTTCTACCGGGTGCTAAATGCATCCATCTAATTTCCTGAAGAATTAGAAAAGTAGTAAACATGTGGATTTCGTTTCTCCTCTTTCCTATGTAGGCATAGGTGCTAGTTGTTTTGTACGTGTGTAGATTTGCAATCTAAATGCAAATGGCTACACTAAAAATAACTATCCCTTTTTCTAGGCTGTGGCCACTCCTGACTGGCTGCAGAGAAGCCCGAGGGTCCAGAGACAGTAATGATAGCAAGGCTGTGTCATGACTGTACTTTGCCCCATGTTTGCAGCTGCTCTTAAATAGCTGCAAAAGGAAAACACAGACACTCCCACATACCTTTTGTTGCCAGTCGAACACAGTTGATTTTGGTTTCCTGCGAACAACAAAAATGAGAGATATGGTTAATCAGTTGGTGGGTTTAGTTTATTCTTTTTTACCATTATTATTTTAAATCATAGTTTATATTTGTCATTCTCTTGAACACACTGCAAATGCCAGTTTTCAATTACTCTTCAAGGGGGCTTCATAGAATTAGGGGATCTAGAGGTGGAATTGAAGACAGGAGGACTCCAGTTTGGATCCAGTCTCTGACACTTAACTATAGAACCATGGGCAACTCACTTAACTTCTCCTAGCCTCAGTTTCTTCATCTGTAAAATGAATATAATAATACTCATAGTTTCTACTTGGCAAGAAAATAGCAAAGCTCAAGGAAGAGAAAAAAATATATATGTACATATATATAACACACACACATACAAGTATATACCATAATATATGCAAAGCCTTCTACAGATACTTAAATGCAATAAAGGTCAGCTATTCTTATTGGAATAATTAATATGTAAGTAATCAAAGGTAATTAGAGTCTTCCCCAGGGCCTGCCTGTATGTATCTCTTATTCAGATGCCCAATCTCCAGACAGAGGTTCTACACCAATCATCATCCTAATGTGACCTTGGGTGAGATATTTAACTTTTCTGAACTTCAATTTCCTTATCTATAAAATAATAATAATAATAATAATAATAATAATTCTTGTTCCTTAAAGGTTTGTTGTTGTGAATATCAAGGTTAACATGTGAAGGTGCTTATTTCATTATAATACTTCTTCTTCTTCTTCTTCTTCTTCTTATTATTATTATTATTATTATTTTGGTGAGGCTATCATGGTTAAGCGACTTGCCCAGGGTCACACAGCTAGTGAGTATCATGTGTCTGAGGCCAGATTTGAACTCAGGTCCTCCTGACTCCAGGGCCGGTTCTCTATTTACTGTGCCACCTAGCTGCCACTATAATATTTATTATTAATATAGTATTTTAAGGTTTTTAAATCACTTTATATACGTTATCTCATGTGATCCTTGCAACAACTCTCCAAGGTAAGTAAAATTATTATTTTTATTTGACCGAGAGGAAATTTAGACTGACAGAGATTAAGGGACTTGCCCATAGTCATATAGCAAGTTGGTGTTTGATTTAAGCTCAGGTCTCTGGACAATAAGTTCATCTTGTATGTGTGAGACTATACCATACTACCTCACAGGGTATTAAATGAGGACAAATGACTAAACCTAGCCCTTCTTCAAACATCCCCATTTCTGCTGATGATACAACCATCCTCCCTAAGGCTGCAACCTTACAGTCATTCTGGACTCTTCCCTTTCCTTTAACCACGGTATCTGTTCATTAAGCAGGTTTTGTTGAGTGTAGCTCTGCTATATCACTAATAATAATAATTAATAATAGTAACAATACCATTTGTGTAGTACTTTAAGATTTATAAAATGATTTCCAAATATTTAATTTTAATCTTACAACAACCCCAGGAGATGGGTGCTATTATTACCCACATTTTACAGATGAAGAAACTGAGGCACAAAAAGGTCAAGTGACTTGTCCAGAGCCACATATCTAGTAAGTGGTCAAGGACAGATGTGAACTCAGGTCTTCCTGACTCCAGGTCCAGTGCTCTTTCCACTGTAACACCTAGCTGCCTATGTCAGTCCCCTTCTCTCCACTCATGCAGCCTTTGCCTAGATTACCTATCCTAATAATCTAGGCTGTTGCAAAACTTACTACTTATTTTCCCTAAGACCTACCCTTCTCCAATTCATCTTCCACAGTTGTGAAAATCACATTCTTTAAGCAAAAATATGACCATCACTCCTCCTTGCCTTCCTAAATCTTCAAGAGCATCCTATTGCATGTATAATAAAATGTAAAATCTTCAACTAGTCACTTAATGCTCAATGTAATCTTGCTCCCCTTACCTTTCAATAATCTCATTCCATATTATGACTCTCTCCATACTTCCAGTTTTAGTCACCTTGGAGTACTGACTACTTTCTGCATATAACATTATAACTCCTACTTCCATAGAAGTTTACCCAGGTAAACTTACGCACCATTACAATAGTGATTCCACCATATTTCTACCCTACCTCCTCCTTTTAGAATCTCTACCTTCCTTCACGGCACAACTCAGATCCAACCTCTTACATGGGACCATTCTTTTTTTAAATTATTTATTTATTTTCGGTTTTCAACATTAACTTCCATAAGATTTTGAGCTCCAAATTTTCTCCCCATCTCTCCCCTGCCCCCACCCCAAGACAGTGTGCAATTTGATATAGGCCCTACATATACATTCATATTGAACCTATTTTCACATTAGTCATGCTGTAAAAAATTAGAACCAATGGGAGAAACCATGGGGCCATTCTTAATCTTTCAATTATTTTCACTCTCTCTCCCACTTGAAATTATTCTCTCTCTCTCTAGATATATATATGTATATATATATATATGTTTCTATGTATATGTTTTTACACACACACACACATGCATAGTGCATCTGTATAGTTAGACCTTAATAAATATTATTTTGATGTAATTATTATCATTATAGCTTACCAGTTTATGTTTCAAACAGATCAATATGGTCCAGAGTTATAATGAGCTATTTTGATGCTTTGGTCAAATGGCACTAAATGTCCTCATATTAACCACAGAAGTTTGGGGTGGGAGGATCACCAACACTGGCATTGTTGTAGAGAGACAAAGACCCTGAAGCACCAGATCCTATGGGGGAAGAACCCATTCTACTGTTTCCTGAAGAATTTATTTTTTTTTTGAGAAAGAGCAAGGCAGGACCAAGTTGGAGATACACTCACCTGGCTTGTGACCACCAGGGTAGGAAGCATATCATCTTATAGCTACCTAGTTTAACTAATTATTCTTGCTAACAAGTTTCTGTGTTGCCACAGTAATAAAAATGCTGTAAAATGTAATAAAATGTAAGATTGTATAATATTTTAAATTAAAATATTTGTAGTCTGTAAAATTTGGTGCCCTTAAGGCAAAATCCTAGTTGTGCCTCTGATGAGGATCCTTTGAAAATCTGATCTGAAGTGAAAGGCTATACCTGAATGATTTATGCATTGGAGTTTGGAAAATGGTATAGTTAATTTGAAAAAAAATGTAATTCATCAAACTAGAGTTTCAAGTTCTACAATTTACCTCAGTAGAGAAATTCTCCCATTTAAAAAGAGAAGCAAGAGGTAAACAAAGAAAACATCATTTTTTGACGATGGTACCTTTGCACCAGCATCATGGAAAATACTGAAGCACAATATATCTCACTTGAAGACACTCCACCTTCCCCAAAGTCCTGTTGCTGCACCACATCCATTTGAAAAAATGTCACTAGTAACAATTGCCTTCGAGTAGTATGGTGGAATGAAAAGAATCTCAAACTAGGAATTGAGACATGGCCCAAATTCAAGCTTTGCTTATACTTTTTGTGCGACTTTGAACAAGTTCCTTATCCTTATCTATAAAAAGAGAGGATCGATCTCAATGATCTCTTGTCGTTCAGTCGTTTTTCAGTCATGTCAGACTCCTTGTGACCCAATCTTGGCAAAGATACTGCATTGGTTTGTCATTTCCTTCTCCAACTCATTTTACAGATAAGGAAACTGAGGTAAACAGGGTTAAGTGACTTGCCCAGGGTCACCCAGCAAAGAAGTGTCTGAGGCCAGACTTCAATTCGGGAAGATGAGTCTTCCTGACTACAGGCTTGATGCTCTATCCAGTACTATACTTAGCTGCCCCCATGATATCTATGTTCCCTCTAACCATCTACAGTGTTCTATGATCCTCTGTTCAGACTCGGAGACCACATTCACATTCCCAGTTCTGTTCACAACTGCTTTGCTCTGACTTTCCTTTCCTCTGGTTTCCTATTGTGTAGGTAACAGAACTGTAAGAGGTGGATTTTGCAGCTTTGTTGCTGCCCCAAATTGCTAATCAAGGCTGGGTTTCAGAAGTTATGCTGTGTGCCCTGTTACGTGACAATCATAAAGAACAGCTTTATTTCCAGAAAGCAGGCTGAGCAGATTGTGATTTTTTAAAAAATCCTGTTTTGACTTGTAAATGGAGCTTGAGAAATCTGGAAGTCACCAATGAGATACCTTGTCACTGGTGCCGAGTCACTTGGCAGACCCAAATTATTAGAGCCATTTAACGTGACAGACTCATCATTTAGGGACAGCGAGTGAGAGATGTTTTTCCTTGGGTGATGGCAACGGACCAGCATTCAAATTCTCACTCACTTTCTCTTACATGCTTAGAAGACTGAGATGTTCCATCAACATCTGAAAAAGGTTACAGGAAGCCAAAGGGCATCAGTCTGTTATCTATGCCAGGATCTCATCTGAGGATGATGTTTGTCCCCAGGTCTGGAATGAATCTCAGGAGACAAACACTAAATCAAGTGATAATAGCTATGGGGGGGGACAAGGAGCCTCGTGGTAGGCACTGTGGGGGGCAAGATTAAAGAAACAGGAGATAATAACCACTGATGCTCGTATTGTATTTAAATGTTTGTTTTATAACTATTGTCTCATTTGAGAAGGGATGATGCTTATTTTTTTCCATTGGTTTAGGGAGCTATTCTATGTAGCCATGTTGGTAGCCAAATGTTCTATAACTTAGAGTCTTAAAGAATTTCTTGGGGGCAGCAAAAGGTTGAGTCTTGTCTGGAATCATAGAAGAAGGAGCATGAATCAGAGGTATAATGTGTACACAGGTTGTCTTAATGTTCAGAGGCCAGTGCTCTTTACATCGTACTGTTCCTTATCTGTAACATGGGGATATAATACCTGTAGTGTAAATCAAAATAATCACTATAACTTATTATCCATATCTCACAGATGAAGAAATTGAGGCTCAAAGAGATTGATTGACTTACCCCATGGTAACATATCTAAAGGGCAGTGAGGTGGTTCAGTAAATAGAGTGCTGGGTCTGGAGTCAGAAAGACTCATCTTTGTGAGTTCAAATCTGGCCTCGACACTAGCTGTATAAGCT